GTATGAATACATTTGAGGACAATGCTTTAGCTTGTGTTGATGTAGTTGTGTACCTGTGATTCTCTTCTCTCTCTTGAGATCCACCTGTAGCCACTGCTGCTGGTCGCTGTGAGAAGGTGCCCAGGGCAGCCCGGTCTTTTTGAGCCGTGCCCCCGTCGGTGCCCACACGTTGCGCTGACCGGTGATGATGCTCCACTCCCACACTGACGAAGCATTGAGCTGAGTGTCTGCAACACCACCGGACTCCAAACCCAGAGTTCCATAGCAGCCTGAAAAAACACAGAGAGCCCATTAATTTAAATAATTATAAAATGTTCAAGAACCCAAATGAGATTTATTATGCATTAATAGCAAGTAATATCACAAAATCATGTTTGGATAAAGAATGAGGGATCCCTGCTTATAATCCAATCCAGATGTACACTTGAGCTTTTCTATATTTATCTACATTATAAATTTAGGGTCAGGCGCTTAACTGTAATCAAGTTTGAACTCTGAGCATGGAAAATGGGAGGGAATGTACTCCAGGTTTTTGCTGCAGACTTATAAAACATTACAGACAATGCAAGTTTAATACTCAATTAAAAGTGCAGATGCATACGGTAATGATTACATCTACAGGACTTGCCCCGGGAGGAAGTGTAAGCGCTATTAATGAGACTCTATGGGAAACAAAAAAACTCACCGTTGGTCTTGAAGGTGAAGAGGCTGTTTGACAAAGTTCCTCTGAAGAGAGAAGTGCAAGATGAGAAAATCAAGCATGTAGCACCACCTATGTACAATTCTTTCTTTGTTTTTGTTCAGTTTTTTAAAAGAAATCAATGAAGAAATTTAAAGTCAACAAAGTAGCGGTGAGGCTAGTGCTGTAGTGCCGTCATCTCTTACCCAGTGGAAGTGACATTGTTCGCCAGTGTGCCCTCATAGTGAGGGATGCCTTTGCTGCTGACCACACTGATCTTCCCTCCCACAGCGTTGGACACCACACCTGCATGGACGGCTGCCACACACAGAGGGGAGGACTGCAGAACCAAAGCAAAGATTAGATAAAAGGTTCTGGTTATGTTCTTCAACAGTCTCAGGAACAGCATCGGATAAACTCTGAAGATTACAGACTCAAAGGCAAGGCTTTGTCTGAAGCGCTTTTTTTTGCACGAGACAACAACAACTGCGTTGTTCTTTGTGATTCTCTTGGAAAGGAAGAGGATGGAACGATCACTGAGTGTTCAAGACAGTTTTCTTCCTGAAACTTTCTGTTCAGCATTTTCAACCTACTGGTATGTACTGTAATCACTTCAAAACAGCTAGCAAGCCCAACCACTTATCAGAGGAGTCAGGAAGCAGAAATTTTAACATCACGTCTTGACATTGACACTTTGTACTCGTTCGTTGTTTTACAGTCTAGAAGAATGCTGATCACATGTCGTTCAAGTCTTGTGACTGATGGTATATTAATGTAGTGTATTTGGCGATAATTTCCAGCTCTTTTCGGCCAGTTGCAGACGACAATTTCTGCACGTTTTTTCCAACAAACTGGACACAACATAAAGTCTCTCCTGTAGTAGAATTAACATGTTACTATGTCTAATCTTATTGTGATGGCGCAGATGCTTTTTAAACGTATATATTTACCAAACAAAATAAGAAAGCACTTCACCTTTTTCACCTACTATCATCTAAACATGTCAAACTAAACTGTAAACATTTAGCCTTTGTGTCGATGTGGATGTTTCTTTATCAGAAGATACCAGCATCATCATCATGTATCCATTGTGGGCAATGTTGTAAAACAATGATGAGGACTGCTATATGGTCATATTGGGTGTAATATGACAACTTGGGAGACTATCTGAACTGTGCTGATAACTAGCTGAGATTTATTATTGCAGATTATCAATATCTGTGTATATGTCACGTGAAAGGTGACAAGACGCTACAGTGCAGATATCAAAGATATGTTTGAAGTGATTAAAATAATTCAGATTACATAGTTTCTACACCAGAGTGCTGACAAATTGATTTGTTAATGCAAAATGTTCCATTTAGTATTTTCATTGGTTCAACTCTTAAAAAAAAAAAAAATCTACGGGAAAAGATTGCTTATACGATGTGTTTATACTTCCATTTCCAAATTGATTTCCCAGATTATATATCATATTGCCTCAGGGACGAGGGCTTTTAAGGTTAACATATTTGGCACATGAAGTTTTGTGGAAGGAATCAAACCTGCAGCTATGTTCCTGTGGTTTGAATTTAAGTGCAGCTCAGCAGATCCTAAAAACACCTTCTGGCAACGTTATGCGGTGAAAAAAAGGCTGACAGGTAGTGATCTGCTGGTACTGCGCTTGCTGCAAATTCTGTCGATTTGCGAGTAGGTAAGTAGGAAGAAGCCGTCCTGTTCGGCAGCGCGATCACTTAACCTTCAGACTGAGGCAGATAAAGGCTGATGAGTCAGGCTGATGTCACTTCTCTATACAGAGGATACTGAGTGGCACTGATGGCAATGACTCACTGGCGGCTGCATTCCTGTCCAAACCTGCTGCCACATCACTGGGAAGCTGAAAAAACCTGATTCCACTCTGGCCACGAGCTCCCTCCGATGAGCAGCTGGTCGGGTCAGGAGGAATTTTATTACTGGAAAAGACCCACACTGGAATTCACAGCCTGACAAAGATTGTGGGAAAACCCAGCGAGTGACGAGCGCTCGCATACATGTATTCACACTCACACACACACACACACACACAGACACGCACAGCAGTCAAAGGCTGCCACAAGCAATCAACACTTGCCCCGTGATGCTTAAACTTCCCAAAAACACACACCACATCCGAAAGAGAGCCATACCAAACCGCTAACACAAACAGCGAGTACAGCTCCAGACCACAGCACCCTGCCTCCAACAGGGAAAACCACACGAACACTCACACACATATGTGATAAGTAGGATGTGGAAATATGAAAAACAGCACAGTATATGATACTGAGGCAGAATTAAAGGAGATAAAGCGAGCTGCAGGGTTAAGATCTGGGTGGGGCAACTGATCTCTGTGTGATAGAGGGCAAAGTATGCCTCCACGAACGCCATTATGTTGCAGCTGAGCGTCACACACACACACACACACACAAACGTGAATGAATCGCATGCACACAAACAAACAAAACAAAAAAGATCCAGGCATGCATGCACAAAGGCTTTCTCCAGCTTCTCAATCACACTGAGTCACTCTCCAGACTTTTTGCCTCTCCAAAAACACACTCGACACGCAGCGCCGCTCAGCACCCTCTTGCAGCTGGACTGGATTACAGAGTTATTATTTTCAGCCAAACTATTATCTCACCTCCCTTTCACCCGCTGACCCTGCCCCTCCTCTGTTCCTGTGGGGCTCCTCGCTCCCCGAAGCACACCCCGACGCTCCTCCCTGTCCTCCCATCAGCCAGCGAACAATCGCACCCTCCCCCATCAGAAAAAAAAAAAAAAAAAAAAAGAACGTCAAGGTGGTGGGGATGAGAGAAGCAAAGCGAGCTGCAGAGTGGAAAGTTGAATTAAGGCTGTCACTATTATTGAGTGCCGTTTGCAACAGACAGGGAACCGAATCCAAGCCTCCCCCATCAAAAAAAAAAAAAAAAAAAAAGAACCTCAAGCTCTGAACATGAGGTCATCAGCCAGAGACTCGGCGCCCATGACCTCACGCACAGCGGGGGTGCCGTGAGGTCATCAGTCCAGGACGTGCATACCACAGCGAAAGGGGGCCCGTTTGCACAGGGAAGAAAAAAAAAAAAAAAGACTACACAACGTGGTAATGCACGGCAACAAAAGACAAAAAAATAATAAATCAGGGCCTCTCAAACATGAGTAAGCTGATGATGTGGTGCTTTGTTGTGTGAGACCACTGGGCACCGTGACTCACCTGGAAATGTGATGCAGAAGACTACAACAAAGAGAAACACCTACGTGCATACTTGTGCTCACCTCTCTATAGCCATTCGGTATTGTTCCAGAAATCTCCTCTGTAGATGTCAAGCAGCCCGCTGGACAGTATTTACTAACAGGAAGGAGACACAGTCTGTTAGTATTTGGCAGTTTGATCACTTCACAGATAAATACGCAGAAAAACATTATTTACCTGAACTCTGCCTCGGGGAAATCAGTTCCTTTGTCCAGACAGGTGATTAGATCTGCAAAAGCAAACAGACTATGTCAGAACTGGTTTCTCTGCACCATCCTGTTACACTATCACCCCCCTTTTTCTTTCTATTTCTGCCCCTTTTAAGTTACCAGCTGCCTGCTTTTGTTTAGTTAATTCATCTATTCAATTATCTGGTATTGTAAGTAATGAAGTAACTCAGACCGTTCAGAGAGATTTTCCAATTGGCTTGACAGAAAGTAATTTTCCCAACTCGGGACTGCAATTATTCTATGGCTAATTAATCATTTTCACTCTCACCATTACTTTTTTTGACTGTTAAAGATCCCCTCCAGTGACAATCAAGGTTTTTAAAGTAAATGTATTTGGTCCATTTAATCAAGTTTGAAGCATTTGTACTTAAAAAATTTAGTGTTGCCAGGTTCTGTGCTACATCAGACTTCTTTTCAACTACATTTCAGAGAAAAATAAGATATTTTTACAGTTATTTCACAATTTAGTTAGCCTGAAAAGGGGGTAAAGAAGCTCCAAGATATAATGCAGTGCCCCAAATTGTCTACATGGTGACAAAATACAATTTAAAAATGGAGTTTTGTACCTCATTAACATATGTCCAGATAGCATTTTTATACAATAGAAGAAACATCATGAACAAAATAAACATTCAACGTCTAAGCTGAGCATTTCCACCTTCACACTGTAGCGAACTGACGACAGTCTCAAAAACCCAGATTCAGACAAACTTTTAAAAAAAAAAATGTAAAAAAATAATCTCGTCAACTTGTATGGCGAAACGTCTGGTATCACACTTAAGGACCGGTTTAAACATGTACGACTGAATTACCCAAATACTACAACTTGTTATTGTGTAATGTAGAGTAGGTTCACAGTGTTGGAGTTGTAGGTGAGCTGGTGTGCTCGAGCTGCAGCAAGTGGGGAGTGGACAGATAGGTGGAGGCTTCATAGATCTACATATTCTAGAGGAAGCAACTGTGTAGATCTACATCTAAGGCATTTTAAGACAGAATGGAACTATTTTTAGTGAGAAAACTGTGTTTTTGGTACAAAGAGGTGAGTTTTTGAACAGAAAGGGACTTTAAGTGTCTTGGTGCTCAACATTTGCCTCATGGTGGCGCTAGATCCACCACATCCATTAGGGTTCATCCTCTGGGCACCGTGACTGTGCACAGTTTAATGGTAATCTGTTGAGACGTTTTAATCAAAGCAGTCAATTGACAGACCAACCAACGCCTACATTCTACTGCTAACATGATGAGAAACATTTTAAGTGTTTGTTTTCTTCGAGCAAAAACCAGAAATCCACAGATATTCAGTTTACTATCATTTGGTTAAAGAAGACAAATAAACAGAGCCACCGTTCACATCTGAGAAGCAGGAATCTGTGAAGTTTTGTTTGTTTTGTTTTTCTTTTTTTCTGGCGTTTCACATCAACTCTGAACACATCAAAGTTCAACAGCACAAAAAATGTGTGTGCGTGGGTGTGTGCTGGGTGTTAACATGGGAGCTTTAGTGACGAGGCGCACCACTTATGTCCAACAGGATGATGTGGGCTGCTGGGAATTTTATGTAAACCTTGTGGTGATGGTCAGTCTCAGTGAGTCTTGACCACATTATTGAAAAAAACAAAGAAAAAAAACCTTTATCTGGTAAACCAGCCAGTGATTCAAACTGACAGATACCCCCCACCACCGCAGGTCACCATGGTTACTGATTTACTTAGCTGTGCAAACTGTCCACCCACGCTCATCTGCATGACAAGAAAACACTCGCATGTACCCATTGGTGGAAAAAGTGGCCGGGCGCACTGGCGACCTTGTTTGCCTCCCGGTGTGAATCAGACGAGCCGAGATGACCACAAAGGCAGAATTATTACTCTGCTGCGCACACGTCACCCACTTCCCTCTTCTTGTGGCTCCAATTATCTGTTTATCTGAAGTTCCTGCAAATGTTCCACATGATGAGGCATGCCTTCAAGAACAGGACTCACGCAGTGCTTAGCAACGGCATTCTTATTGAAGAGACAATCTGACAATTTTAAGACATCAAAGTCTGTTATAGGGCTCATTGACAGCCGTATACAAAAGTTAGTGGAGGATAGTCTTGTATCAGCTGAATTATATCTACTCGGTTCCTTCACACTGTTGCGGACTGCTGAAGCTTATAGGGAATCCAAATGTTTTGGATTGTTGGGTGGTTCTGCCTTTGTTAAGCACTATGAGATGACTTGTTGTTCTAAATAAGCGCTATACAAATAAAACTGAATTGAACTGAATTGAATATTCAAACAATTAACAAGCCATCACAAACCATTTTCCTCTGTTGTGTTATTTGTGCAGAGGTCCTCTGGGGTGACTTACACTGATGCATTTTTGCTTTGCAGATAAAATCGTCACTTTATCAGATCAAAGCTCAAAAATATTGGCACTTTTTAACAAGTTCAGAAGGATCTGTGAAACGCCCGTATAAAGCATGCAAATTAGCGCTAAAGCTATTAATTTCTCAACAACCTCATGGACTAATCAATTATCTGAAAATGTTAATAGATGATTTCTGTGATCACGAAGGAAAAAATGCAGAAATTCTCTCGTTCGAGCTTCCCAAATGACAGCTTTATGCCTCTGGTTAGATAAAAAACATGCATCCCTTTCGATTCCGGGAAACTGTGATGGCCATTTATGACCATTTTATGGATTTACTGACCTACCGACCTATAATAGATAAAACATAATTAGTTGCAGTTCTAAATGTAAGCAGGATGTTTCATTAAAGACCCCCTCCAGTGAAAATCAAGCTGTTAACATGACCATATGGTGTTTTTTTTATATGCCGGAAGACATGTTATTAGCAAAGTAAGCAGAGCATGTCCAGGTTGAAACTGCAGTGTAGCGATGGCAGTCTCAATAAACAGGCAGACTTCCAGGATTATACACACGACAAACCGAAGGAAGCAATTCTGTCAAGTTGCAGGGTGACGCTTTTTCAGAATCAGTATCCAGTACACACATGTATGGATGGATGGATTACTGCTGCATTACAGCTTGCTGTTGTATAACACCAAGTACTTTTACAGTGTTTGAGGAGAGTTGCAGGTGAGCTGGTGTGTTCAAGCTGCAGCCAGTAGGTCGGGGTGCATGAATAGAGCTTCATAGAGCTGTGCATTCTAGAGCAAGCTATGGTGTACACATACAACTTAACTATTTTAAGGCAGGAAAGGATTATTTTCATTGGGAAAACATCTCTAATACACAGAGATGACTTCTTAGGAATTTAGTCGATGTCCGGAAAGTGTGTTTCAATTTCTTAACTGTAAATGTTCTCAGAGCAGTTGGTAGTCTGAAAGCTGAGACAGAACCCACAAGCAGACACAATGCAGTTTGTCTATAAACAGGTTGAGCCTTTTCCTTTATCACAGGGAGGACAAACACTTCCCTCCCTATCATTTAGTCCATGAAAACACCATCTTTGACTATGACCTCAGTAATAAACAGAAGTGATTGCACACACTGCTGACCGATGCAACCAAAAACTGAACTCTGTAAACTTCTGAAAGGTAAATAGTTTTTTTCTGTCGGGCTGCATAAACGTGTACAGGTGGGTCTAATAGCGTATAAATACAAACCAAAGTCAAGACTGGCTTGATAGCCCACAGTGACTGATGTCTATCTGCTTCAGCAACACATTACATGAGTAACTAGTTTATCACAGGGTGGAGGATCAGACAATAAAACCACAAAATATCATCAGCTTCTCAATTAGTCTCACTTCCTCTCACCATTGTTTCTCAACTGGCTTCATGGTGACGCTTCACGCTTCCCAGAACATCTGTCTATATCCTATTCTTCCCCTCTTGGACATCTGTTATTAACCACCGTCAACCTTCACAACCCGCAGGTTACAACATACAGGAACAACAGAGGAGATTCGCGTTTTCTAAACACAAATTGCAATCTGACTCAGCCCCGGCACATTCAGCGGTGAGCAGCGACAGAGAAATCTTCTTGAACAGCCATCCACACATCTGCTGTCGCCCCCCCACCCCCCTCCTCTCTGTTCGGCACTGTCTGTTCTCTCATTTAGGGAAGGAAAACAATATTGAGACGGTGCCCACTGGCATGATCAACCCTGCACGCTGGAATTCCAGATATGTGGCTGATCAGACTATAGCAGTCACAGCAGAGCAGCTCCTTATCGCCGCTGTGTGTTTAAATACGCTCTCAATGGTGAGCAAACACCACATCGTAAATGCTGCTCTCATTTGGCCTCAAGCGCTGCTGCCACAAAACTGCGCTCACACACAGTCCTCTATTCAACCCCAGCCATCTTTAAATTTTATTCAGTTATTTTTCTTGTTATGAACTGGAGACACTGTTTTCTTACAGGATAATGGGAAATATGCATCATCTCTACAATATACACCGACGACAAAAGACATTAAACAGACAATAATAATAGCACAGAGATCCGCACTTTACTCTACCCAACTGGAGACAATGGAAACAGTGGAAAACCCACTCAAACCAAACATCCATAAAGAAAAACTTCAAAGGGATATCTAATCCTAAAGGGACCCAAGGAAAGTCGGACCTGATCTGAATTCATCCAACAACAAAGACATGATCTATAACGCAGTCAGCCCGAACAGACAGGTTAAACTCTGTTGCACTTCTGAAACGCATTTTTTAAGGCACCGCTATCAGAAATGGGACTCTGGGGGCGGCGATGTTGGACGATGAATCAGTCGGTGCATCACTTTTGTCCAGACTAAGGTTGCTGTTATTTTCAGTGTCTTTCATTCTTTTCTCGATTAATCCACTCGGTTCTACAAAATGTCCAAAAATGGTCCCTCGGTGTATGTCCTCAAGAGTCTTGTTTTGTCCACAAGCCAAAGATATTCAGTTTATTGCCAAACAGGAGTAAATAAAAACAAAAAATACTCAAATTTAAGAAGCTGGAATCAGAGAATTTAGATCTTTTTTAATCAGAATTATTAATGATTAATATAATAGTTGATAACTAAATGATTAATCGTTACAGCTGTAGTTTAGATTGAGTTTTTGTGACAACTACTGAATTTACTGTCTTGAAATTCAGTACAGACGTTTATTGTCTCTGACTTCAGTGATTTCATTTTACGTTAGTCCTCCAGCATGATTCAAATTTATCTTAGTTCAAGACTTTTGTTTTAGGAAAGAGTCAAGTATGGCTGTTTAATCATCTGTAATCTGAAAGTATTACAATTTCACATTTTAGTTGGGAAAAAAAAAGCATCCCAGCACAAAATGAAACCTTTTGTCTTACAAACTCATATAAATCCTTCTGAAAGCCCAAAAACTGCACATCGCTCGAGCTACAGACGCGGCCATACTCGATGTATTCGACGGTCCTCAAAGCTGATATATGTAGAGATATGATGCTTCCGCACAACAACGGCGATTCGTTGCCAGCTTTTAGGCAAACCCACGTGTTACACATCTGTGCACAAGTCTTTTCAGGACAATCTAATTACCTCAGAACTGTTAAAAAAAAAAAAAAAAGGTGGCGGCGCAGAATGAAACAGCTGTGACTACAACAAACACATGCAATCTCCGAAGCAACTCTTACCCCGAGGGCCAAAACACAAATGTAACCAAGCTCGAAATTGAGATCACATAATCACACGGCTGTCCCTGCAGGCTCGGGCCTACCGATCATAAACAGAAGACAGACAGAAGACAGACAGACGGGTGAGTGAGCCGGTTACCTGAATCTTCACTGGTGGTGGAGTAGGACAGGTAGAATCCACGTCCGGTGTGGTGGGTCCCACTCATGAACTGGACAGTGACCTGGTTGCCAGTGGACTCGATCAGCTCGTTGACCTTCAGACCCAAACCGCAGTACTTCACTGTTCAGCAGCACGAGCAGGAAAAGACAGAGATACAGGACACGGAGTCTGGTTAGTTGTTTGGTTTAGCTTGATGGCAACTTGTACAGCATGCATTATATTAGATTACAAAGAATCAATTGATCAGTGGTTACTAACGCACCCTCTTATATATTCCAGGCACACTTCAATAAATAAGAGTGTAATATGAATTCAATAAATGTCAAAAGATTTTCAAACACATTTTTAGATTTTGATCCTGGTTCCTGCATACTAAGATAAATGTAAGACTTTTTTTTTTTATATCTCGTAAAAAGCAACATAACACTTGTTTCATTGTCAAACTGACCTAAATATTAGTCTAATTATGATGCAAAGCCAAGAAGGGCAAAAAGGCTCCTCATTATTTATTATTAGATTTCCCTTTTAAGTACATTATTCTAGCAATATATAACAATATTCCTAATGGCACAATTGATTATTTTGACATGGACAAGCAGCACAAAACTGGTTGGATGGGTTTAGCAATGAAAAAAAATTAAGGTCAAACTGGCACTTTCCCATTAGTCTCAGCCAGGCCACGCTTGAAAAGGAGCTTTTAATCTCATTGAGACTTTTATCTGGCTGAATAAAGGAGATAAAATAGCGTGTTAGGTTCCCACCTTGCATAGCTACAAGCTTGACTGAAACGCCACAAAAAAAGGCTGGCATGACATAGAGTCGGGTTCCACTCAGCTTCATCGAGCTCAGACGTTAACAAATTAGTAAAGATAAATGTGATGTGAGCAGGCTTTTTGTTCCTATTTCACACCGACTGCTGCCTTCTCCTGGTAAAATGACCCAAAGTTGCCTGTGGTATGTTAAATCAGCTGCAGCTATAGGCCTCGCCAGGACATAGCTTAAGTTTAAAATATTCCACCCTTGGCTCAAAAACACAGCTGAGGTCAGGGAGAAATCTGAGTACTAACTTTCTGTGTGAAATGCAAGTTCCACAGAAAAGAGGCTACAACAGCGAGAGTTCATTTGTTCTCCAGTTTCCTGACAGAACCCACTTTCTTCTATGTTTCTTTTGTGCACGTATACATGGGCGTGGGTTCTCACCGGTTTCTCCGGCTTCCTCCCACAGTCCAAAGACACGCTGAGGTTAATGGGTGATTCTAAATTGTCCATAGGTAAGAATGTGAGTGTGCTTAGTGGTCTGTCTCTTATGTGTTGCACTGGACTGGCTCATACAACATGTGTGCAGGAAAAAGTGTTTATAGTCACTCCAAACGGATGAGGTCATAAAGAAGGGCAAGATGCAGTAGGATTTAAATATGGGGACAACAGCACCGGCACAAACTCGGTCTGAAAGTGATGCTTAGTTATTTGCATGAAAAGTGTCAGAAGAAAAGTGAGCTAAATAAAGCCGATCAGAGTCTGGTTTGTTCATTTTCAACTCTGGAAACAGGCCAGATATGACATACAGTGGGTGTGAATGCTAGACTGTCTGTTTCAGAAATCTGTCGGACACTGACACCCAACTTCCAACATCAGAAAGGTGTGGAGGGAAGTGGAGCTTCAAAGTTATTTCACTATCTGACAACCAATTTTTAATGGAGTATCCTGCTGCCTCATAATCACGCTAACAGAACGTCCTCGCTGTGTCTGATGTATTTAAATTTTGCAACTAATTTCCCCTCAAACACATTTCAAGTTTAGTCTAGCACGTTGCTTATCACTCTCACCAATCTCACTCCTCTCTGGTCCGATGCCGTTGTAGAGGCGGAGGTAGTTGACCTGGCAGTCGCTGTCTTCTATGTCCAACGAGGCGAAGCGGAAGTGGATCCTCTTGCCGCGAGGCACGCTGATCTCCCACTCGCACACCGTGTCGTTGGGGTACGTCCTCGGGTAGCCCAGAGAGGACAGAGTCCCGCTGCTCGGGCCGAGCACGCTGGGGCCACAGCCATCACCTGCAGGACGACAAACACACGGGCTCAGGAGGCGGCAAGGACGAGCACAAAGCAGAGGTTTTGTTGATTTAACTCAAGAATTTAAAAAATAATGATTTCTAGCATTTTTAATTTCATAAGAACCATGTAAAACTAGCATAGTTAGTGTGAACAAAACCTGGCCAAATTCTATATTTTTGTGATTTTTGAAGCTAAAACAAGTCAATACAAGCACTGCAAAAAATACAAATCAAAAATGAATTATTCAGCAAATGTTAAAGCTCCTACAAAATGTGTATTTCTTCAACATTTTCCCTAATGAGAGTAAATTTGAGCACCCTATTACTACTATTCACTCTTCCTTACAGATTGCTTCAAGTCCTGAGGTATTTTTAGGTCATCTTGCAGTGCAGCATGATCTATCCACAGATTTTCAATGATCCTCAAGTCAGGGGTCACTGAGGCCTTATTCAACAGCTTCAGCTTGTGTTTCTTGAAGTAGTTTGTGGTGTCTGCTTTAGATCACGGTCCTGTCGTAGAAGCCAACTTCTTTTCCGTTTCTGACTGACTGCATGACGTTTGCATCTGAGCTGATGTTTAGGGGAATCCAATCTTCCCTTTATCCCCGCAATGTGTCCTGCGTCACTGGCTGCCGCACAACCGAAAAGCAGAATATTTCCACCTCAAGGTTCAACAGTTGTCACGCTGTTCTTTTCATCAAAAGCCTGCAAACACACCTGTCTGTGGCCAAAAAAGCTCAACTGCTTTCCAAAACAACTCTGGCTTATCCAGATGTTGCCTTTCATACTTCAGACGATGACTTATGTGATGAGGTTGCAGGTAAGATTTCCTTCTGATGACTCTTCCAGGTAGAACCTGTTTGTGTATCAGTGTCAGACGGTGGAACGATGCACCACCTCCCCTGAGTCAGCTGAACCATCCTGCAGCTTCTTCACAGTATAAGGAGGGGATTGCATTTCTACCCAGCAGACGTGCAGCTTTATCTAAAAGTCTTCTCCCTCTTCCAGAATTGCCCCAGTTACCCTTCACTGCCATGTCTTATGTAGGACAGAGGAAAATTCAAGCTGAGTGTTTTACATCCTCTTCTTGTTTTGTAGGTATCATTTAGCATCATTTTCACGTTAACAAAATGTTACACAAACAATTCTTGACCTGCCTTTCAGGTCCAAATGAGTCAATTTAGGCCTTACAGGTTCACAAGTAGAACAAATTGTCGCACACATCACAATAGCTGTTGATTTTTCTTAAGATAATGAAGCAAAAAGTAACAATGCACTCACATTTAAAGGCTGGATTTAATTTTTTATTTTTGTTAGCTGCAGTGCATCTACCCATATTCACTTACAATTTGTAAATGATCTACAAAATGTGTACTTTGCTGTATGTGTATGCAAAAACTTAAACAAATGAACGAGCCACACTGTTGCACTAAGTGACATGTTACTTCACTGTATTGAAGTTAATCCCACTCACAGCGTCCTGCTGCCGTAAGTGTGTGTTAATCTACAGCTCAAAATAATCCCCAACTCAAGCAAAGTTTGACAATGCCAAGAATGAATTTACGCATCGTTTTTTTTTTTTTTAAAGAACCTATGTGGCAGCTGCATGGTTTAAAACGGTTTGTATCACCAACACTGAAGGCTACAGACAGCATGAGGAAGTAAGAGACATACTGTAGTATTGCTGGTTTGGGTTTCAGTGAGATTTGTTACCAGTAAGACAAATACAGAATAATATCACACTCATATTTTTAGGTTTCAGTTTGTTCATTTTGAGAACATCCCAATAAGATGATACGTTTGTTCTAGTACGTCTGTGAACACTACATTACTAACACTAGTTTCCTTTAGCGTCTACAACAAGTGATTAGGCAGCGTAATGTAAACGGTACTTCTTTTGCATGCTTTTATGTTTCATACGATTTGTTTCTGCCGGTTATTACAACAGGTCATTACCATACAGCTGCATCTGGCTGTGAGTAATATGTGGTGCAAATGCAGCTCATGTCATAAGAACGTTTCAGCCATAAATCACAGGCTTGAGTGTTTCATTCCTGTTTTAGAAAGTGCTCTCGAGCAAGACAACGAATCTCAAACTGTGAAAGTGAGAGGGGAGAAAGTTGTCATGGATCAGAGCTGAAACAACTGGAAAATGACCTGCAAATAGATTGATAATTAAGCAAACGTGCCATTTGATCTCTAGACCCTCAAAATGACAGAACTGCAGCTTCACTTTAACTTATTTTATTGTAAGCTGAATTTCTTTGGCGGTTTGATCAAACAAAACAATACCCGGTTAGTAAATAATGAATAGTGATTTTTGTTCTGTTCTGAAGATTTATGCAGAAAACTGTTATTGAATGAAGACAATAATGTGTATTTTGATAGCTGCTGCACTACTACAACACTGTCTGGCAAATTAATGTAATCTAATGCAATTTTATAGACATTTAAAATTTTTAAATTGACGCATAAAACCAAAGAACAGGCTATTTCATTTTATGACTTATGCAGTTAATGATCGCATAAACCCAATCTAAGACTGTTTGGAGAGTCCTGTTTTGAGTTGACCAGAAACGATAACCTTTTGCTTTACAATCAGACGTGTGTTTCTGTGTGCGACAGGCTGTCAGAAAGCAGACACACTGCATCTGTTGATGTTGTGGCTCTGAGATAACACTCAGCAGTCACGCTTCATGGTGCTAAGTGGATGTTCTGTGGGCCTGGAGTTATGTAAGAGCCCCTCAGTGGACATTATCCAGATGAACAAGACAAAAACAAAGCAGCTTCCCTCACTCTGACTCACAAATGTTACTGAACAACTGCATGCTGCTCAGCAGGAGTTCACATTACCTTCCTCAACTGGGCTCTCTGGCTCAAAAACAAACCAGAAAGTCACTGGAGTCAGCCTGAAATACATCTTAAACTTCCATCCCAACGTTTATTAACCTAAAATTATGATTTGATTGAATTTTAAAGTTATGACAAACTACAGAGTCCACGTGTTTACAGCCCACTTCCACCCCACCCCCAATCTCCAACCACCTGAGCTTAGCTGAGAACTCCACAAAAAGAAAGAAAGTAAATAATTGTATTTAGCTGCATTTTAGTATCAAGTAAACCGTCTCCAATCGAAATATATTAAGCTTTTGGTGATTCTGGCGTTAGTTTCGTGGTGAAACTGAGTCTACCTGGAACGAGAAACAAGGCCACAAGCTCCCAAATGTGCTGTTGTCTCGTACACACAGACCTCAAAGCCAGACTCCTTTAGAAAATCTGGCAATTTAAAGGTAACTATCTTACCGGGGAAACGTTAATAAGCAACAGACTACTATCGACAAGTTTTCACATATCACTCAAGGCCACACGTTAATTCGGCGAGCACACAACCCCCGAATGAGCAGCTATTCTTTAGCAGTCTTCGTTTTTAGGAACCGGTTTGCCTGGTTTTACTACACCACAAAAACACACCATGACGGGCGGCGGCAAGCAGCGGCGTAGAAGCAGGCGTTTAACTCCACGTACACACACACGACCATGTAAGGTAAGTTCACAACAACGGTGCACCTAAATTATAACGCGTAAACTGTGTGTGTGTGTGTGTGTGTGTTGAAGAGCAGCGAGGAGCCGCATGTGTGTGCGGTTCCGCCGGGCTTCGTCGTCCCGGTTGTCACCGCAGCCGTGTGCCACCAACCTTTCTGCGCTCGGCAGCCCTCCGTGGTGAGGATGATGAGGACGGACAGGACGAGAACCCCGGCGGCCCCTGTCGGTCCCCTGCCCACCATTACCGCTCTGCCCATAGCAGCCTGCAGTCTGAATGCATAATGCTCGCTTCTGGACCGGCTGCACCGCTTCAACCTGTACCTGGGAGATTTTTTTTTTCTGTTGGTTTTCTTTTTTTTAAGGATAAATCTTCAACTCCTCGAAGGCGTGTGTTTTCCTCCTGAGGATGTTCTTCTTCTTTTCTTTTTTTGTGGCGTGTAGTTTAACAATCCAGTGGTTTGCGACACTCTCACTATGGAGGTAACTGCTTCTCATCCAATCTGTGGAGCTACTTCCTCCACCGAGGCTCCTCCTCCTCCTGATCCGGGACCGGGATCCCGGGAGTCCCCCAAGTGGTCTGAACGCTCCCTGGTCCACCGGTGCTGTGCCAAAAAGTGATCGTCTGCCAAAAATAAAAATAAATTTAGTCGACAAAAGCAATTATCCTCATGTCTCTGCATACTTTTACCTTCTCTCTTCTATCAATAGTCATTTTTTTAAACCAGTAAAAACAGCTTTAAAGGATCAGTTCCACTCATTTAATGCTATTTTCCACTTGCCAAAAAGTCACCACAGCACCCACATAGTGACTGAAATGTCTGTAATACATCAAAATGACTCGATTTCATTCAATAATTTCATTGTTGATTAATCTGCTCATTATTTTCTTCATCAATTAATTCGTCTGTGGTTTGCAAAATCTCAGAAATGTGTGAAAAATGTCCATCAAAGCTCAAGATGACGTCCACATATGTGTTGTTTAGTCCACAGATTCAGTTTATTGTCATAAAGAATTAAAGAGACGATAGAATATTTAATTTAAAAAGCCAGAATCAGATCATTTTGACTTGGTTCTCCAAAAATTACTCAAACCAATTAACCAACAATCAAAAAGTTGGTGATAAATTTAATAGTTGACGAACTGACTGATTATTATTCATAATTAATTACAAGGAACGCTAAAGTTTCACAAAGACAAACCTTTGCTGTCACCACATGTTACACATGTTTGACAGAGGATTACTTTTTGCCACCCAGCTCATTATTCACAGTCCCTCATAAGCCCCTGCTGCAACCCTAGAATAAAAAATCACCCCAAAATCCAATAAAATTAGTGTTTTTGTTGTTCTCGACTTTGCAAATAGAAACCACAAAGGTGCACCTGCCTGTGGGACATCTGAAAGTGCAAAAACAGAGTCAGAAGTCAGGTAAAGATGTGTTTTTGGAGAAAATGAGAAAGCATGATATATATTTTTAAGAAGCATGTTTTTTGTGTGTGTGTGTGTGTTTTTTTTACAATCTGAGATCGATCATTCAGGTTACCTTTAGATAAATCAAATTTTATCAATACCAAGAGAAATTCTTCAAAATTCCATAACATAAAGGAAAGCAGTACCTAGTAAAGTGGTGTGATATTAGTGTGATACATTACTGAAAATAAAAATAAATGAAAGTAATATCACACATTAGAAAGAAATATTACACCTAAAAAAATCAAACTTTGCACCTGGAAAATAAAACATTGCACATTACACTGACATGTTGTACATAAAATGTAAGTATTACTGTTGATATTGTTGCTTTATTCCTCAGGTAATATAACTTTATCCTCAACTTTTGGGTTCTTTTTCTTGAAATCCACTTTTAACAACAAAAACTAAGAAAAAAGCTATGTAGATATATATATTCTCAGACCTTTTGTTCTACCTTCTTAGTTTTATTATGAAAATAGACATACAGATATTGGTCAGACAACCAAACATGACATGAGAAAATGCAGTGCCTACTTGTAAAGTAAGAAGATATGCGTACGTTTCCTTACTGAAATTTTAAAAAGTTGTAAATTAAAATAAGATTAAAGAAAAATTGCATTAAATAAATCCATTATTTCCAAATAAAATTGAAATAATATGCATGAAATTGAATTATTGCAACTCACACCAACATGTTGTACATAAAAATGAAATGTTGCACATAAAAATAAAATATTGCACATAAAATTAAAATATTACACTTGATAAAGTTGATATATTCTTAAATTATTTTGACTTTATACTTGACTTTTTGTTTGTTTGTTTTTTCTTGAAATTCAATCTAATACATTTTTCTTATAATAACACAATTTGTTTTTCTAAAATATTTCAATTTTATTCTGTGAGTCTCAGATTTTGTGGCAAATGCATAGAAAAAAACAAGAATACAAACACATTAGAGGTTACAGGTGCATTTGTTGTACCTTCTATTTATAAAATTTAGAGATATACAGGTTTGCTTATATATATTATAATGGTAGCATAGTATAGTGTGATACATTGCTGAAAATGTAAATAAGTATGCTAAAATAAGGCAAGAATAGAAAAGCAAGAAGTAATACTGGCAATGATTCTGAATACTGAAGTAATATTATCTATAACAATGAAGTGTTGCCCCTGAAATTTAAATATTGTACAGAAAAATGACACATGTATTAAATATTACACATTATCCATGACCCTGTTGCTGTATTCTTCAAGTATTATGACTTTATTTGCAACAATTGAGTTATTTCTCTAGAAATTCAAACTTTCTTTCCATAATATTCCCACCAAAAAGGTCAAAGAACAGTCAAATATCAGTCAAACATGACTGTTTTTATTCATTAAGGGGTCTTGAGATTAAGAGGTTGAATTTACACATTTTCAAATTAGAGTATAATTAAAGCATTTGTGGCTACATAACGAACACCTTAATTTAGATTTAAGGCATTTTCACTGCTTTCTGGGGGTAGATTAAGGACCAAATAACAGTATTTTAGGGGGTTTTATTCACACTGTATTCCTATTATGCAGTTATTTTTTAGAATAAAAATAGAGCTCATGTCCGTTGTATTTCTTGTTAATACACCCACATTCGCCCTGAACACCGCTGCTGTTTCTATGCTTGTCATAGCTTACATCTTTATATAGTAACATCTGTACAGCTTTCAGTTTTAAGCATTGCAGCTTTTCAGTCTTTTAACAATGCTCTGCATAGTGATTAGCTGTTTTCTTTCGCATTTATTTATTTATCTATTAATTTCTCATTTTCAAACAAACAAAACCCCAACCCTACTTTAAGGCTGAGCATATGCCTGCTTCTTTCCTACAATCCCTACAAGGAAACCGCCCCAAAATGACATTTACAGGAGGAAAAAAGTGGGCAAAATCACCAGAGGAGGATCCCTTTTCCAGGATGGACCGATATGCAAAAGACGTCATGTGTATGTAATAGACCGAAATAGCAAAATTACAATGTGGAAAATCAGAATGACGTTATATTGCAGAGTTTATTCCATTTTAATTTAATATGTTTGCGGCTTAATGTGGGATTCTTCTAGTTACTATGCAAGTACAGAATGCTAACTTACTTATACTTTGCATGTATTTATGTACGCTTTGTATCTGCAGAATATAGGGTATCTCACATTTCCTAAGTGAGCTTTAGAGTCAATCAAGCCATTAGACAGTGAGTTGTTTTGAAAGAAAAATATTTCACTCCATAATGTTTACAAGTTAAACAACGTCCTCTCACTAAATAGAAGTATTTTAGTAAACTGGTGGTGAATGTAGCAGTAAACTGAACCTAACCCTTTTGTTGTTTGCATTTCAGGGATTCATGTTAAAGAATCCTGTGTGTTCATGAAGATCGATGTGAGATTTACCCATCCGCCCCAGTCTTCATTACTGAATGTATTGTCTGTACGCCCAAATCCGACACAAGAGAATCCACACACTGGGAAATCCGATAATTAAAGGGAGACTGTCGAGAAAGCCACTGATTGGGGCTGATTAATGGCTGGGTGGCACTCATAAAACATCCAGGATTTGGCTGGACATTTCAGAATATCTTCAGAAACATGCGCTTATTATTGTTCTGCAGTACACCCTCACTTGGCAGAGAGCTTGGATGTGATGCAACTGTCAGAGTTACCAATAGTAACATGTAGCAACAAACACAGTTCTTTAGCCTGTAGCCTCTGAGTAATATATTGGATGATTCAGACGTGTTTTTTTGCTCTGGATGGATGGACCAGTGTGTGTGTGTGTGTGTGTGTGTGTGTGTGTGCGTCTGCAGACTGAAGGCAGATGTCAGCCACATAATCGCTCGTGCTGAAATTGTCCACTTCTATTCCCCCCTCATATTATCTCCCTTCGACTCTGTGTTGGTCTTTTTTACATTCCCCGTCTGTATTTCTGTTATGACACATTTGCACGAGGGGGAATCCCCGTATAGCAGCAGGATTATGGAGACGCCAGGCAGAAGGACATTCTTACAAATTCCCCCAAAAGCTCCACATAGATAGCACACTATTTGCAGTTGTATACATATAAACACGTGCTTCAGTCTAATTCAACCCAGTGGAATATCCCTGCAGCAAATTGCATATCTCTAAAAATAGTTTTTAACCCATGTCTTCTGATGATGTTTCCTTATTGTTTGGGGCCCTAATGCAGCGTTAACATGTAAACTGTATATAAGAAGTGAACTGTCCCTTCACAACACAATGGACTTTCATGACGCTAAAGGGAAAAATAATGAAGAAATCCATGATTAGTATACCAAATGAGGAACTTTTTAACTTTTTATATGCTATACGGACTGTGCATGGACAAATAGAGTCCATTATAATCCTGGGCAACACTTCTGCCAATAATTGTGAAGGGGTTATAAAGTTGTGTTTTTGATGAAGTTGTGCTCGTTGTCATTACTTTAAAATGTGTTTGTGTCATCTCATGTTTGGCAGCGCATAAGAAACACCTCCCATCAGTCCAGTTCAACAAAACTACTAACTACAGCAACAACAATCAACCTAAAATGACATGAAAGCCACTTCAAGTTTTTAGAGCTTTTTCAGTGAGTATTTCATCTGTCAGACAGGTTTTTGGTTTTGTTTAGTTTTGTTTTAACTTTTACCCATATGGTGATTTCTGTGGTTGTGGTTATGGTGGTTATATTGTACATCATACAAGCTCATCAAGCACCTTTCTCAACAAAGAGGTATCAAACAGTTACTGTAAAGACCTTCTTAAACTGTTAGAGTGAAAGCTACATATTTCGTGAGAAACATTGTCCAGACTGTATCTGGTCCAAACTCCTGAAATGAGATTGCGCCACTTTGTGGTCACACAGTATAACAGCAAGTCTGCAGCAGCTGGTCATTTCTATGTTGGACTTGTGTGTGCAGAAGCCAAGTTTCCGGTAATATCAACATGAAACAGTCTCTCTCTGTCTTACATCACCGTTTTATACATTAATTTGATATCATGTCTGTTAAGACTGCAATAATGTTTTGTCCAGCGGATTTATGTTCTTTCCCGGTATGAAATGTCTGAAT